GTGAATGACGAACCCATTCGCCAGCGCCAATTCCCCCTTTCTCAAGAAGAATCGGTGAGAGGGAAGGTTGACGGCTTGGTGAAGGAAGGAGTGATTTCGTCCTCAAAATCCTCTTCCAGTGCGAACGTCGTTTTATCGAGGAAACGGTCGGGAGAACACCGTTAATTCTCCAGAACGGGGTTATTCATTCGGCTAATCCGGTAACAGATTTGGAGGCAATGTTATTGCGTGGAAAAGTTAATGCTATCTTGATGCCTAAGTCAAGTAAGTTCGTCATTTGACGCATTGCAATAAAGGTATTTTATTTTATATATCTTATTCAGATCTCGAAAGAGCCTTGTTTCGTTCCTGGTGGGAGACTCCGCATAGCGTAGCCAATCCCTGTCTGAATTAAATATGCCTTCTATTATGAAGGATGGTTGAGTCATGTGGTAACAAATATTATATAAGTTTACCGACTGCAACTTTTTGATATATAAAATAGTCTCGAATATTCGGATCTCACATTAGCAGAAGCAGGTACCTTGAGAGGAGGCTCTGCTTGCTAGTCGGTAATCCTCCCTGACTGAATATATTTCGGTTCTCCAGTGAGCTTGGTCGCGTTTCTGGCTAGGGATTTGTGATTGACTTAAAGTCTTCCTTAACCGAATGAGATGTTCTAGATGCATAGTTCGGTGACTGAATTCCCGCAATCTAATTGATGAAGTACATGTAAGTTCCTCCAAGTTGCCATTTTGGTTGAAGAATCTCTGTTTGCTGTGAAACATCACTTGGACTTAACGTCCACTAAAACACATTTTTATACACAAACATTTTTATACGTGTATATTGTGAGTTTCACGGGGCAGACTGACCATCAACCTTTGGTGTTCCTGGCTTCATCTGCCCTCTTGAACCCAAGGTTGATGAGATGGTCGTTGCTGCTGCAACCTTATTCGTTCACAGTGGAATATATTCCCGGTGGACAGAATGTGGGAGCAGACTTTTTGAGTCGCCACCCTTCGTCTGCTGACGTGCTGACTGAGGATGGGGACAATGTTGTGGAACCTGTACCTGGTGATGGTTAGATGTGTGTTGCTGTCGTTCGATTCGCGTGACGCTCATCTCCTTTTGGGGAGCTCTGTCGCATGACCGCATCCACACATCTGCCACAGCAGGAAGGTCCATATAGCTGACCACCCTAAACTCGTCATCGTAACTATGTAATAGAATAGGCCAAGCATAGTTAGATAGTTCGTTTGTTGTGGGGGGGTCCTGATAGGAAAAATCCATATAAAACCCTTTGATAATGACTCTTTTAGGCTTTGAGTGTCGAATTGAATGTTAGGACACATTTTCTGCGCCTATTCTAAATAAATTGTCTGACCACTGCACTGCATTAGTGAGCGCGATTCGTACGCTAACTGCTGTTGTTAGGGGACGTGTTTGTGTGCGTCACTTCTCTATAGTCCGGTCTTGGAGGCAGGCGTTTTTCCTTGTGTCTCGCCGATTGACCGTTATACAGACAAGATTCCTTGTTCTCTTTTTTTATTATCATGGGTTATGAAAATCCAACAAGTGTCAGTGTCTTGTAGACTGGTTCCTTCTGCCACTACCCATTAAGCAATTTACATGTGGTGAATTGGGGGTCCTGAACGTGTGGACGATACTTGAGTCGTCGTCTTCCGAGCTCAAGGTGATTGTCCTCGATCAACGCCAGAAACTGTTCCTGCTGGTGAAATAATGTTGGGAAGTCTGGCGACGTGAAGATCTATTCCGGCATCCAGAGAAGCAGCCTCGTTTCTGAGAAGTCCTATCGTAAAGTACGGCAGTCGGAAACTTCGCTCCAGCATCCAGAGGAGATATAAGATCTAAACAGATAAGTCAGAGTGACACTGTATGACGGCTTAAATCTAAGTGGACCTTTCCAATCCATCAGATTCCTCAGCCATGATGATACTGGACAGAAACGTAGAGTAGGAGGAAGACTCTCGCACTAACTTTGTTCTTGAAAGTATTCAATATTCTTTCAGTTAATTCTTCAAGTTATTTTTCTTCAGCTTGGTTACAGGGAACTTATTACATTGATTCTCGAGTTCATCCGCCTTCTAGTTCTTAGGAGAGTTTTGTCTAATTGGAGTTCAACGTGGCATTTATAAACGAAGTCTTGTCTTATCGTATTCACTGTTGATTATTTGTTCGACTGGACTTGTTTTGTTCCAGTCTGGGGGCGATCTGTGGTGAGGACGTCTGGCCGAGAGGTACCCAAGTGTTCATAATAACCCTGTGGAGTCAGAGCTCGTGTCACCTCATCCCTGAGACAGGTTGAATGGAAAGTTTGAACCGAGGGTTAGGCCTCTAGACGAACGAGAGCCACCATTCAAAACTCTCCTGTCTCAGAGCACCTGAGGGATTTGTGAAAATATCCTGTAAGTAAGGTGAGCGACAAAACTGCCATACGACAACCCCAAATGAAGTGAGAGGGTTTCAAAAAAATATGTATTGATGAAGCTATGTGCCCATGAAGAGGACGTATTCGCTTCAAGGTGTACATGAAGGATAAACCCAACCCATGGGGTATAAAGATGTATGAACTGTGTGATCAAGCTCTTCATATGTGTTTGACTTTGAAATTTATGCCAATGTGCCTGGTCTTAGCAATAAGCCAGTGGATGTTTGTATGAGGCTCCTGCAACCACTTCTAAGTCAAGGTTACTGGTGCTACATGGATAATTATTATTCATGCCCTGAGCTGTCACATCGACTACTGCAGAATGGAACTATGTCAGTTGGAACTGTTCGTAGCAACAGAAAAGGTATGCCTAAGGATTTAGCAGCTCAGAAACTAAGTCCAGGAGAGACGTCATTTAGAAGGCAGGGAAACCTAGCTGTACTGAAGTGGAAAGATAGACGAGAAGTCAGTCTGATCACCACAGTCCACAATCCTTCCACAATGATTGAAGTTCAGACTAGAACTAGGAGGCAGATAAAACCTGAAGCCATCAATGATTATTCCCATAATATGTCAGGAGTTTACATCAGTGACCAGTTGCTGGCTTATGTCCCTCTTACACGTTGTTCTTTGAAATGGTGGCGGAAATTATTTTGTCATTTGTTTACTCTTACTGTTATTCAGAGTCACATACTGCATCAGAAACTATTAGTGAAAAATGGAAAGCAACCTCTGAAGTTGCAGAATTTTATTTCACAGCTGGGGAGAGCTCTTACCTTGGATTATTTCAGCAAAAAGAGAGCAGCAACACCTTGTACTCCAAAAAAAAGTGTAGTGTCTTTGAAGCGTCTGACAGACAGACACTTTGCTTCTCCACTTTCACCAACAGCTTCAAACTCAAAACCCAGAAGAAGGTGCACAGTATGTGTACAGAAAGATAAATGTAAAAATCCAGAAAAAAAGAGGCCACAAAGGGACCATGAAAAGTGACTGGTGCAGGGAATGTCAGGTGCCACTTTGTATTGAACAATGCTTTAAACTGTACCATACCACTGATAAATTTTGACTGTAATATTTGATAAATGTGAGTTTTATATATCTTCATTGTTGCATTGATATTCAATTGCACCCCATATTCTAACAACTTTTTTCCTTGAAATTTGTTCTTCATTCAATTCGGTGCAAATAATATCAGATAGTATGAGTGATCTTGAACAGTTGATAAGCTGTGACATTTTTTTGGGTCTCTATTGTCAGATAAAGGATTTTTCAGTTGCTTTTTTTGCAACAATCTACAGCCACATGATGATGATTATTTCAGACAAAATAAACCCCATTTTTGTTCATCAAATGTGTTCTCGGTTCAATTTTGTGTAAAAATACAAAATATAATAAATGTTTGTTGAAAATTTTTGAAAATATAACGTTTTTATTGGTCTATGTTGTTGTCAGATAAAAGATTTTTCAGTTGCCTTTTTTGCAACAATCTACAGCAACATGACGATGATTATTTCAGACAAAATAAACCCCATTTTTTTTCTTCAAATGTGTTCTCGGTTCAATTTTATGTAAAAATACAAAATATAATAAATGTTTGTTGAAAAATTTTGAAACTATAACGTTTTTATTGGTCTATGTTGTTGTCAGATAAAAGATTTTTCAGTTGCCTTTTTTGCACCAATCTACAGCCACATGATGATGATGCAAAACAGAATAAACAACGTTTTTTCCTTGAAATTTGTTCTTCATTCAATTCGGTGCAAAAATACAAAATATTGTGAGATTATGTGAAATAGTTGTGAAGCTATGGCATTTTTAGTAAACACTAAAATACGTGGTATCTGGGGAAATGCAAGGGTTAATGGGCTTGGTAGTCAGTGGGTTAAGCAAATTTATAGTTAGGAAAAGTCATAACATCTGAGACAAGATGCCTTGCATAAATTAGAACAAGAATCGTCATGGCAAACATGGCCTTTAGTAAGGTGCAAAAGATTCTCACTAACAAGAAGACGTTAATGGCAGTGAGAAAAAAAGAGTGTTACCGTGCTATGTAGAACCTGTGTTGTTTCATGCACGTGAACATGGACAACAGGTAAAAACAGCAGAGATGTGGTTTCTGAGAAGAATGCCAACAATATCATGGAAGGATAGAAAAACAAGTGAAGCCGTCATCAAGACAGAGGGAAGTCGTAAACTTGTTAGACAAAGACAGTCACTGGCTTTTTTGACATGCTTTCAGAAGAAATCGATTCGTGAATTTGGTAACTGGCAGTATTGATGGAAAGAGAGCAAGAGGAAGACAAAGAGATAAATACATGGGCAGTATGGCCAAATGGATGAGGCAGGACAAAAACACTGAACCGATCGTGGATTCTGGTGATCGTGTGATGATAAGTAAGTTCTTTTATTCAAATGCATACAAACGACCTCTGAATCCTTATGTCCCAGGACATAACGTCTCATAAAGTCAGGCTGTATAAGAGTTATATAAAATATCAGAGAACTCTCAGTTATACAAAACCATCTCAAAAACATGATGTTACAACAAAAAAAAAAAAAAGGTGCTCACCTTGCTCAGAGAGGGACAACAGTTGGTGTGATGGTGAATTAATGGCCCACTGGCCTTCAATGTTCCCAGTGGTTGAGAAAGCCCAGCAGGACCCACACCAGCCCTGGTACCAGGCAAATTAAAATGTCAGTTTCAAATACAACACTACAAACACACATACCCACATTCATTGATACAGTGGGCCACATGCATTTATGTGGACACATGCTCAAATGTCTTTATTAATTTAGACAACCTCATGTACAAAATTACTCTTCCTTGACTTGCTAAGGATCATAACAGACATTCTTGAGTGTATCCAGAGCTTAGAAGTCCTAAAATGTAACTGCAGTCTTCCTATCAAAATGTCACCACACTGAGCATACAAGATTTTCATTTCAACTGTAGTAGTCAAAACTATAATACACATAATTGGAGTGTAACCAAAGACCAGGAAATCCTAAACTATAACTGCAATCTTGCAATCTTCCTATCACCATTTGCACCTGGTTTCTTAGTACTCAGAATCACCATCAGGACTTCTGGTCCATTATGTGAGATAGCCAGCTGAACTCTAATGCTCTAAAAAGTTGTTCCTAAGATCTGACTTATAAATTAAGATATTCAACAACAAATGTAAAGCTTAAAACATTCATTCGTCCTCCTGTTTTGTGCTTATTTATGTTCCACTAATATCCACTTAAATCAATCGGCTTTGCTCAGTTTTTACTTCGAATGAAATTAAATTTCCAGCATGTAGCATCTGTCTCTGGCAAAACCATATAAACAAATGATCAGCTGAACGATACCTGTGATCTTACATTTACTGATTCTTGGACTTCTAGTCCAATATGGCATAGGCAGGCAGATCATGAAAGCTTTGAAATGTTGTTTCTTCTGGTCAGTTTATTACCACAGTTTCCTCAAATGGACTACAGTCCACAGTTTAATCGCCTAAGATACAGCCGAGTTCAGTGCTTGGTGCAATGCTGTCTATTTTGTCTAGAATCCCTCGTCTCTGTCCATGGCAGTTTGTGTTGCGATGTTTAGAAAACGGTTGGTCGCTGGTGTGTGTTTAGACTAGTAAAGTGCTTTATGCAAAAATACTGCACGTTTACAGTCAACCTACTGTGACCGTCTCCTTCCATTAAAAAAAAAAACTGAAATTTTCAAAGCAATTTTTGGTATTGGTGCCTTTAACGACTGCCTGGTGCATGTTTGTGGATTGTGCCATTTGTTCATTAGTTTTTAAATGGGCTGCGCAGACATTTTATGTGATTTTCACTAAAAAAGAAGCAAAGCACTTTTGGAGAGACCCGTCTGCAGCCAAGCTGGAACCTCGACAACCCAACTCACCTGATTCTTCACTGGGGTCACTGCATTATGTTCTCTCCAGTCCCAGCTGTCAGGGATTGGGCCTTCTGGAATTTTCGCCTGAGGCCACTGACGCTTAAGAGACACTGGTGGTTTGAACCCTAGATGCATTTTCTTGAATTCTTCCTCTGAAATATATATAAAAATGAGAGTTAGTTGGTTTTCATACAGATAAGTAAGAGAGACAGGCAGCAAGAAATCATAAACATGCAGGCAGTAATTTATTTCTTATTATATATATGCAGGGTCCACAAAATTAATATGTCGAATTATTTCAAAATAATGTGGTAACCGTAGCACATTTGCCAGCCTGACTGTCATGCTTTAAAATTCTCTCATTATGGTGATTTTTTTTTTAAAACTGGCCAGGGTTCTCTGTTTGATCAAGTCTTTCCTGTGTGGGTTCTGCTGGGACCCCATTGGGGTGGGGGGGGGGGGGGGGAACAAATGACTCTTTCTTTCTCCTGAGGATACTCAGTCAGCTCAACCTACTTCACAAGCCATTCTTAGCTTGTATCTGTTTATCCTGGGACTCTGCCTGCACCTATTATCAAGAGGATGCTCTCCCAGTTCCCCATCTTAATCTGGAAAGCACGGGCTTTGAACCCACATCAAACAATGACATCGGTTACCAAAAATTCCCACCAACGATGCACACGCACATACAGGGCATGTATTAGATAAAACAATTTACAGACATACAGCAAGATATTCAATGCTTACACAAGGCATACATCTGACTTCACAATGTCTGTCTAAGAGGGGAACAATACAATAACTTTACCACTAAGATCTGCAAACTTTGTAGCACCATACTGAGCTGATCCCTGCTCAACTGACTGAATAATCTTGACTTTCTCCATGTTGTCACAGAAGATTTTAAATCGACGGGCTTCCTCTGAAAAACAGAAATAAGTTGAAATCATGGTAGTGATTATAAAAGATCACGGTATCATTTGTGAAAGATCGCTTTTAGTGGATGCAATAACTGATTAAGTGCTGCAATCTTCTTCCACCCATATGCAGATCCTGCTGGATAAAACTGGACCCGACCTTGGTGTTGAATGCAAATGTGTGAGTTCCAGACCCGTAACTAATTAAAGATTTGCTAAAACTATGATTTGGGCCAAAGGCATAGAAATCACAGCCTAGCAGTAAACCACAGCATCCCATTTAAGACAAGTGAGTAAGGTGTTGCATGCCAGTATTGGAACACTCTAACACCATTTGAATACTATTCTGACACAATTACATGCTTAAATTGTTGCTAGTGCAATAAGAAACCAGTTCAAATAAACCATCCTAATTTGATGATAACCAAAGAATAGTTGTGGAAAAAAAAAGGAAAAAAAAAACTATGCAGTTGAATTCACCTACAATGATTATGGTGATCTCGTTCAGTTGCAAATATTAAGTGCAGGGTTCAAAAGATACAGATCCCCCTGTGGGTTCCAGGGCCCCATTCTGGGGGTGAAAAACTAACAGACAGACTGCCACCTATAAAGCATGTCATGAGGGCTGAGTAATTAGAGGTGTTTTAGAGTACATACGCTCTAGATGAAAGGAACCAAAAGTCTGCATAAAAATAAGCCAGAGCACTGTAAAATGGATGTGCACAAAAAACTATAAAAAATCACGGGAAGCCGATGTCGTGTAGTCTTAGACTCTCTCCTACAGATCAGAAAGTTGTGTGTTTAGGTCCTGACGGGGCCAGACCTTTTTTTTTTCAGAAATTACTTTGGCTCCCAGGTTGACCCAGCCTCAAATGGGTACTAGATAGACACCTGGAAAGTAAAGACAGTGGGTGTGATGCTGACCACATTATTCACCAAGTGCAAATGGTGTATAAAATATAGGTCTAGTCATATATGCCAAATAAGAGTGGAAAAGAGTCCTTTACATCTCTTTACTAATAAAACTTAGAATTCAAACAAGTATTAGTGTGTGCCAAGTAATTACTTTTTTTTCTGCCAAAGTGTACTAGCATGAACATTTTTATACCTGTGTGCACATTTGTCCGACTCAAGGCACTAGTAAACAATAAAACAGAAAATAAAGCAGTGGCGAAATGTAGATTCTTGGAGACATTAACATTAGAAGCTCACAAAGATCTGTTCTTTTTATAACAGCTAACCATCTGAGGGGTAATTAATTTGCAGCAGAATTTTTTTTAATCCCCTCAAAAAAATCATGTTTCACACATGACTGCTCACAATGAAAATCTCCAACCCCCTCCCCCCAATAACTACACATATTAGAAAGAATTACTGTCAGCACAATCACTGCTCACAAAAAGTGTATTATATCATCAGAAAGTGTGTGGGGATATAACAAATGATATAATGGTAAAAACAAGCACAAGCAGATCAAAATCACATGCAGCAGACACATTGACAAAATTGCACATGAGTGAATCAAAATCACATGCAGTATTGTATACTAAATTTGCCGAAACAATCCCTTGAAAACTGTAAGACAGAGAGATGAAAATCCAGAAATAAAAAAGAAAAAATCTGCTAGGTCAGACAGATTAGAAAAAGTATATGACACTGACTGAGAAGGTATGTTTGAATAGAATGTAAGATGTTTGTTTGTTTATTCGACAGATCAACATCATGGCACACAGGGGTAACCCATAAGTGCTCTATTCTACCTCTAACTCAAGCCTGAATCTGAAGAATCTCACGGCATGCATGAACTCTGATGCACCACTGAGGATCCTGAAATACTTTGGGTAGATTTTTAACTCCAAATTTTGCCTGGGCAGCGCCGTTAAGCTACTCTTTTTTTATTTCCAAGCGAACGAAAGAAGAAGGAGATTTCCAACTGCCAAGGTATTTTTTACATGTGCAACAATACACACAGCGTCTGAGTTTACTACCCAGAGACCAGAGGAAGTTACTAGAAGTCTATGTGAAAAAAATCCCAGCCTTCACCGGGGCATGAACCTGAGACCTCCTGCACTCGAGGTGGACATCATACTTCAAGACCACTCAGCCCCCCTGTAAGATAGCACTGTCAGCACTTTCCGATGTACATTTTTCATAAAACAATCCAGATGTTAAACAGGAAAAGTGACGGTAAAGTATCCATAAAAATCATTCTTACCAGCAGGTGATCCATAGAGACGATCGTATTGGATTTTGAATTCTTTGAATGCAGGCACATGTTCAGCACACTTGTCATCTCCGTGTGGGAGGTAATCATGGTTATCACCTCCCAAAATTTCCATTCTTGCAACTGCTGATCTCTTTTGGACATTCTCAACAGCTTCTCTGTGCTGATATTAGTGCAAAAAAACGTCTTACACAATTTTCATAATTATGCACAATTAAATGTATACTTCTAATAGTCCACACAGTGTGGCACAGGTAGTCATATTTTTCCACAACCGTCTGTCTTATGTTTTTTCAACCTATTCTAAAACAGATAATCTTCCATGTCATGATTCCAGACTGTCCAGCGATTTCTCTCAGTCTGCCTTTGCTTCTTTTCCCCTCCAGCTTTCCCACTGTCACAATGTACTTCAGTTTCTTCCTTCATATCACATGACCAGAGAATACAGATTGTCTCCTTCTGACATAGATAATCATTTCTCTTCGTGAGTTATTACATGAATAATCAATACCTAAACAGACTATCAGAGCAAAAAACAAAATCACATTCAACTATTAAACTGTTTATACACAAACTTTTAAAGCTTAATTCATTATCCTGCTGTGCCATTCCTCTGTCACTTCCATATGACATATAAAAGTAAAGTAAAGGACTCAATTCACGCCTTCCAGGATATTGGGCTAGATCTCTATTTTTTGGAACAATCAGCACTCGGTGGGTGATGTGATCATGCAGGCTGCCCCCGGCTTCCCAGGATTGTACATGGTACCAATTAAAGACTTGGTCGACCTGGGAGCCTAGGTTATATTTGAAAATAATCAGGATGTCTGAACCTGAACCCAGAACATTCCGATCAGCAGGCCAGTGTCTAGCCACTACAATATGACGGCTCTCATTTGACATATACATGTGTACACAAATACAAACATGCAAGGTCCGACAATTAAGTAATGAGACTGATTTTATTATGGCCAAGACAAAAATGCCATCTAGCAATCAAAGCATGGAATCCCTAGAGGCAACCTTAGTCTATGTTCTTGCAACTTTTCATCGCTGCCCGATAAGCAGACAACAAACAAGTTACCATTTTGTTAACCTAGTCAAAAGTACATTGTTACGTAATCAGCGCCAATGTGACAGTTGAATTGATGGAAAAAGTTTATGGGGATAATTGTTCATCTGGTGCACAGATTTTTCAGCAGGTATTCCCGATTCAAAAGTGGTATGAAAATGATTACTTAAGCAACTAGACCTGGAATGCCAATTTCTGTTTGTAATGAAGAACTCATTGCAAAATTCCGAGAATGGATACAAGAAGATCGCTGTTCAACTGTGAGGATGATGGTAGATGAATTTGGTGTTAATACAGAGACTATTCATAAAATTTTAGTGGAAGATTTGGGCAAGAAAAAAAACCTATTTCCCAGATTTGTCCCCCTGTGACTATTTTCTATTCCCAGAATTTTAAGTTGCCATTAAAAGGACGCTTCTTTGACAATACTGATGGCATTCAAAGGGCTGTATCATTGACTTTAAGGGCCATAACGATTGAAGAACTACTGTGGTCGTTCTGTGTTTGTTAGATCGTGCCACTTACTGTATCAATGCACAAGAGGCTTACTTTGAATAAAATACAGGCCATATCTTCAACTGTTGATTATTTTTTAATTTTTATGGAATTAGTCTCATTACTTAATTGTCGTACCTTGTATATGTCCACAATGTATTCATTGCAACTTAGTCAAAGTAACCTGAGCATTAAATTCTTGTTTCGAGAAAACTGGATCTGAATACTGAGCAGAGACGAAAACTGTGCAGTTGTGTGAAAAGTAATACTTCCCTTTGACCCATTTAGAGTAGGAAATCACATGTGTGCCTTTTGTATATTATAAAGTGGTTCTTAGCAAAAGCAAATGGTTGATGTTTGGTGCAGGAGAGCCAAGGATATGATACAACATCCAGCTTAAGAATGGAGGTGGAGGCGGTCAATGCAGCTTTCTGGTGGCTAGAGAACACAACACACACACATTGTGACTGTAAGTGACTCAGAAAGCATGGTGAGGAAAATAAGGACAGGCATGCTTTGTACAGAGGGGCATGCTTTGCTTTCGGAGGTCAAGAGTGAAGAGCACTGTTAAGATTTTTTCTCTGCTGGGATGTGCCTGTGTGTTGGGAAATGAATAGGTGCACAGAGTGGCTGGCTCTGCACAACTTGGTGGAATATTTATATATAAGGCAGATGTGGTTAAGGCTTTAGAGGAGCATGTGTCCAATCAGGAACAGCAAACTGATCATCACAGTCTGGTAAAAGTGATGCAGCGAAGAGTGATGAGGGGCAGCAGATATTTGACGCTAAAAGGAAAGGCAAGATGGACATTAATCAGACTACTATTGGTACCAATGGTACTGGAACTCTGTGTTGGCTGCTGAAGATGGGGATAAAGCGCTTATGGGAATGCCACGAGTGCTGTGATGTCGGTTTTTGAAGCAGATCAAATCAATGAAATCAAAGTGACAAATAACAGTGTCCAAAATTTACCAAGGTGACTTTGGCATAATGCCAAGATATATGCATGCGTACCCTTGCACAGTTAATCTGCAAATATTTATAAATCCACATCATTTCCCTTACAGGTATGTATTTGATATTTTTTCACAGTCTACATGTTTTAAGACTAGATGACAACAGATATGTATGACATCTGTACATCAATATATACACAAATATACATATCCACACATGCATTTTTGTATGCACACCACAAACATATACACATTATTCTCACAGGTTTGCACTTGAAGTTTTCCATGGTGTACTTGTTCTGAGAGTAGATGACAGACACATCACATTCTTGTGGCTAACGGAAGATAACATGTGTAGTTGGTAAGTCATTTAGTAGCACCAATGCATCAACAATAATGTAAATTTTTTTTTTTTACAAAGAACAAATAAAAAATCTGTTTTAAATTCTAGGGTATGAAAGAACAATACCGCCACCGCCCAGAGTATCTCCCACGCCGCGCAGCGGCGTGGATTGGGGCTAAACTAGATGGCTGGGACTCACGAGCAAATAAAATGAAGGAAGCTGCAGGAGATGCGGTAGCTGCTGCTCGTGAGTCCCAGCCATCTAGTTTAGCCCCAATCCATGCAGCGCGCAGCAGCGTGGGAGATACTCTCGGCGGTGGCGATAACGCCGGAAGTGCGCAATTTAAGTCACCTGAAGTCCACAATTGACTCGTGACTGAGGCCCTGTTAGGGTATATTTTTGGCCTCGATAATTTGGGACTGTTATTTGGAAAATAGCCAAAAAAAGAAATAAAGACAGAAAGGGAAATGAAGAGGAAATAAGCCAGATATACAGACAGACAAAGAATATAACTTACAACCTAAATGCAATAATTATCTATGTGAACTGTGAACAAGGAATGGGAGGGAAGATCAGTGTTTTAACATTAAAAGCCTTTGTAGATTCCACATAAATATCCATTTTTAAACGTGGAATGTTGAATTAAGAATCGACATTATAGCACTCTGGACACTCCCATATGTGCTCAGTCACCATCTTCAGCAGCAAGCAAAGAGTTCCAATTCCAATGGTACGAGTACCCATCTGATTGTATATCCGTCTCATCCTTCCCCAGAGCGTAGAGCGTCAGCCAGATCCCCTGGTAACTCCTCGCAGCACCATTCTCCTTATACTGTAATGATCTATCTGCACCTCTGCACTGTTCACTGGTTCCAAAAGGACCCTCACAATATCTACCTTGTCGTACATAACTTCACCAGCCAGTCTATCTGCCTGCTCATTTCCCAACACACAGACATACCCTGGAGAAAATATCCAAAGAATTCTAACTACCCAGGACCTCTGAAGTGATGCTTGCTTATAATTTGTATAGATGAATCTAATTCCCTCCTCCAAGTATTGGTCTGTTGACAAGGGCATATCTAAAACCTACAAATGGGCCTGATTTCAATGAGTCTGTACGTGTACAGTGTTGCATCATGACTTTGTCACTTGTTGATATGACTAAACTGAACGAGGACAGGGGTGGATCAAAATGTCTAAGCAACGATCAGACTTGTGTAGGGCTCTAAACAATTCAGACTATGAGTGTAGGTACTGGACAGTGGGCGCTGCAAAATCAAAAGTTAAAAAAAAAAAAAAAAAACACAATGATGCATTACTATTCTTGTCCAGGTGGTGATATTATTTATACAGATGGCTCTGTGTTGAGATGCAGATGAAGCACATGGTTTTGAAACACTGGTGGTAAACTGATGCATGATAAGCTAGACATTGTAAGGGCCCTTTGGGCTTTGGGAGCAAGTAAACAATGCGTAGGCATAAACGGGCCATCAAGGTCTGAAGAGAATGGTGCACCGAGGAGTAAAGTGTGGAACTGATACTTTAGTAGGAAGCTTGATACTAACCTCACTTTGAAGTCGAGTGTATGTCAGGGCTCATGTGACCAGAGCACAAGGCATTAAACATGAGTTAAGAACTCCTCCAAATATTTAAAAAAATTAAAAAAAAACACACACAATCAAATAACTCAATTCAACTGATATAAATGCTTATCTACCTTTGATTCTGTAGTAGCAAGACATTCACTTAGTGTCTTGTGGTGATTCTCTGGTGCATTACGACAGGACGTAAATACAGTAGTCAGCAAGAAATGATAACGTAAGCCATTGATAACCTAGACATTAACAGATAAGAAACCAGCTAGAACAGCAGCAACAACAATAACTATTTAATTGAAACATCAAGAAATGAAGATTCAAAATTAATCATACATGACTGTTTGTAATACTACATTTCACACATTCAATCTAATATCTGCCAATCATTTCCAATTGCGGATGTTCCTTCACATGTGATGCCCATGTAATGATAATCATAACTACTTATATATTACCAGTCAGTTCTAATTAGGGATGTTACCTCATCCTTCATGTGTGTTGCCCATGTACTGACAATCAGTTTCTAATTAGGGATGTTACCTCATCCTTCATGTGTGTTGCCCATGTACTGACAATCAGTTTCTAATTAGGGATGTTACCTCTTCCTTCATGTGTGTTGCCCATGTACTGACAATCAGTTTCTAATTAGGGATGTTACCTCTTCCTTCATGTGTGTTGCCCATGTACTGACAATCAGTTTCTAATTAGGGATGTTACCTCTTCCTTCATGTGTGTTGCCCATGTACTGACAATCAGTTTCTAATTAGGGATGTTACCTCTTCCTTCATGTGTGTTGTCCATGTACTGACAATCAGTTTCTAATTAGGGATGCTTATTTATGTGTGATGCCCTATATATTGCCAATCAATTCTAATTATGGATGTTTCGTCCATGTATGATGCCTATGTAATTACAGTCAGTTCTAAATATGGATGCTTATCAATGTGTGATGCCCCACAAATTGCCAATCAGTTCTCATTATGATTGTTCCTGTATGTCTGATGCCCATGTAATGTCAATCAGTTCTCATTATGGAATTTCCTTCACGCTTGATTGATGCCAATCAGTTCTAATTATGGTATTTCCTCCACATTTTATGCCAATCAGTTCTAATTAGGGATGTTCCTCCACGTGTGATGCCAATCAGTTCTAATTATGGTATTTCCTCCACATTTTATGCCAATCAGTTCTAATTAGGGATGTTCCTCCACGTGTGATGCCAATCAGTTCTAATTATGGTATTTCCTCCACATTTGATGCCAATCAGTTCTAATTATGGTATTTCCTCCACATTTTAAGCCAATAAGTTCTAATTAGGGATGTTCTTCCACGTGTGATGCTAATCAGTTCTAATTATGGAATTTCTTCCATGCTTGATGCCAGTCAGTTCTAATTATGGATGTTTCTCTATGTGTGACGCCCACATATTGCCAGTCAGTTCAAATACAGATGTTTCTCCATGTGTGATGTCAAACATTTTGTTCTCTTCTTATCTAACATTTCTGTTGTCTCAGCATGACCCAGTTTTCCTATTCTCGTGGCATGCCAAAGGAATATAAACTTTTTTGTTTTTAATACAAGTAACCAGTTTCTGTGAGTTAATTTCATTCAAGACTTCGCTATGATTTTCTGTTATCAAAATCGACATCACTGCACATAAGCATTTTCACAGGTGCTCAGTTTCTGAGGCAGCAGTCATCCGAAAGCAATTTTACCCATGGTTCCCATGTGAAGCTGGTTACAATTGTTGGACACACTGTGGGGACTGTACAATACTGGAATACATGTAACTTGTAATTATTTACCTGCTCTGTCGCGTGAGTGACTTTCAGTAGACTCTGCATAAACAGAGAGTTGGACATCTTATTAATATGCTCAACTGCCCATTGTGCTGCCTGCTGAGCCATGTTATCATTTGTATCCACCTCATGCGGGCCTCCCAGCAGAGACACAGACCTGGGAGATCTTGGGTGATCCCTCGGGATAAAGGGACTGCATGGGTCATTTTCACTACAAGGTCTCAACAGCCAAGTTCCACCATTTAACCAGGGTGCCAGATGGGTGACACACATGCCACATGTTTTATTCTGAAAATATGTTTTCAAAGAAAGATTTGTAACAGACGCAGATATGGGATATGGACTGTAAACAAGATCAATATAGCCAGCTGGCTGCTGCAATTCAAAAATGCTATCAATTTTCAATAATGAGGCCACAGACAGTATACTGCTCAATTTGCTGTTTGCCATATTTTGCTATATGTCATCATGGGTATTAGCACAGAATTGTCACTCACTCACACACACTCTTTCTCTCTCTGACAAACATCCACACATACAGAGTATGCAGTTGTGTATACTTTACAGGACGTTGATGAATTAACCCCACTGTTTGTTAGCTGTTTGTGATTTCAGGAGGCAATTATATATTCAGTAGTTTGCCATTAAACAGCATTAAAAAGTATGGTTGAGCAGCAGCGAGGAAATCAAAATTAAAATGTTGAGGAGAGCATGAATCTTCCGTGTAGCGACGTATGTGAGTCGTGGACTATCCCCCAGTCTTTAAGAAAAAAAAATTGGGGCTTTTGAACTGAAGTGCTATAGAAAGATTCTATTTTGAAATATTTTGGTCACATAAAGTGCCATGGTGGACAGGGAAAAAATAATAGAAAAGGCATGGTTCCGGGAAGGAGGTGCAGGGACCGACCAGCATGAAGATGGGCATAGGATATAAGTGACTCCTTGAATATGAAAGTACATGAGGTGGAAGAGCGGGAGAGAGATGGAGTTTCTTTCAGGTAGACCGTGATGCTAGCGACATTCAGTAACGAGTTTGCCATTGCTCCTTGAGGTTGAAGGTTTTGAACAATGGATCAACATCATGGCATGCGGGTAATAACCCATAAGTGCTCCGTTCTACTTCTAACTCAAGTCTGAGTCCAAAGTAGCTCAGTGTAGTGCATGAGCTCTATAGCACCGGCAAGGATCCTGAAATATTTTGGGTAAATTTTTAAACTCTAAATTTTGCCAGGGCAATGCTGTTAGGCTACTTTTTTTTTCCAACTAAGAGATTTTTTTACGTGCGCAATAATACCCACAGGCATCCAATCTCACTACCCAGAGACCAGGGGAAATTACTAGAAGTCCATTGCTACTGTCGAAACCAACTGTAGCGGCTCGCTGCCATATCACCCACAGCTGGAATCAAACCGTGCACTTCAGAATTATGAAGCATGTTTGCAATGCCAAAGCCACAGATGGTGACAATATAATTATCAATACATAATGACATAAACAATTTGAAAATGAGACAAGAAGGAATGAAAAAAAAAAAATGCTGGACCTTCTGACATCATGGCATGGAGGATCATCTGTGTCAGAGGTGATTGAAAGCACACGAGACAGAAGGTTGTGGAAAGACATGACTACCAACGCTACACGGCATGGACTTTAAAGAAGAAAAAGAAAGAATTAACTTTTTTTTCAAAGGGTCAAAAACTTACATTCAGCCCTTCCAAACACCCATCTTTCACACAGCAACTGTATTTTATCTGTCAAGCTATGTTCACATAGCAGTATACATATATGAAGATCAATTAAAATACCCAAAACAGCATGGATGGGATACCCACACACACATACATATAACACATACAGACAAACACACTCACACATAATGCATGCATTTATAAATACACCCATATATACTCATACCCACACTCTTATATATAGGCAAAGATACAGATTTGAAAAAAAGTAAAGGTGCCTTTTCCACGCCTTTAGGCCTATAGGGCATATAGGGCTAGACCTATATTTTTATAGACCAATCGGCACAAGATGGATGATTTGATCAGCATCATGCCAGCCGCCTTTACTTCCTAGGACTGCACCCGGTACCCATTCCAGGCTGGGTCAACCTAGGGGTCAAGGTCATTTTTGAAAAAAGTCAAGACTCTGCCAGGGAGTGAACCCACGACCTTCCAATCCGCATGCGAGCATCTAGTTGCTACGCCACAGTGACCCCCCTTACATACACATATTCATACACTCATAGATATATTTACGTTCATAAATGTGCATGCGTAGATACAACAGATGCACTCATTTATCACACACACAAATATACTTAGTATACACACACACACATGACCAGTAGGACGAAACATGCTATAAAAAAAACGGTTTAATTTAATGTTTGTTGTCTCATTATTGAATTCTTACCGTTCACAATGACAAGGCCACTGTGATGCTGACCGCATCACCCGCCAAGTGCCCTTTGGTCTATCAAATATAGTTCTAGCCCTATATACCCAATACGCCTGAAGGCCTGGAAAAAGGTCCTTTACTTTTTTACTTTAGCAATGAGAAGACATTGTTTTGAATTCATATCCATTTTTACTATCTTCTTGTTTTTATTAATTAAACTGTGAATCCTAAAGTTATTTTTTTGTAATAAAACTCATTATAATCACACAATCAATAATAAAAATATATTCTGATTTACACCTTAAAGTGTGTAGTTTGTAAAACAACAACAAAAAGTGTAAAACATGTTGTATACATACCTCACAGTGACAACATGACAATTAGCTTGTAAGATTTAGCTTTATATCATAAAGTATTTTTCAAGTATCTCTAGTATAAGAGGGAGTAGTGGTGGTGTAGCAGCTAGATGCTCGCCTGACAGCCTGAAGGTCTTGGGTTCACATCAACACCAAAACAGATTTGTTTAAAAGTGACTCTGGCTCACAAGTTGACACAGCCAAGAATTGGTACCAGGTAAACTCCTGGGACTTAAAGCATGTCTCCATCTGCAATGTTGTCTTCTGCATGTTTTTCTTTTTAAAACCAATGGACCATGACCTTTTTGTGTGTTGGTTTTCTAGGCCCAATGGTTTGTTGTAGCGTTTCATATCAGGGCAATCTTGGTGTATTTGTCTAGGGCACCAAACCACATGCACAAATGGCTATTGTTACAATTTTAAACTGTAAACACAAAGCTGCACAAACTACTGTGCTCTGTTCTGAGTTAAAGATATCTTGAAAAAAAAAAAACCCAGCCATTATGTAAAAGATATCTGATGACAGCGATCAGTTACCAGAGGAGACAACACCAGAAAACAGACATAAACCAAACTGGGGACTGCATTACATAAAGGAACAAACAAGATGGCTTAGTGTCACTGTAAATTTTCATAAGTAAAAACTGTTTGTATGAAATAAGAAAAAAAAAAGAGATAGGCATATACTGCAGAAAATATGTAAATACACCGCATCACTCAGCTAGATAAAGAGACTTCAGCTCCACATGTGTAACCTCAACAGCAGACTACAACAGTAACTAGGCATATGAAGCTCATAATACAGCTTACAATAAAATCAGCCAAGCAGTTCAGAATGTTTTGTACTGCAATAAACTATGATCACAAATAATTATCTGATTTACTGTGCTAGTAAATAAATATAATGTCCACTGACATAACTTTATGTTGGCCAAAAATTACAATCAACCATGAAGAAATCAAAAACATCTCAAACTTTAAGTCAAACTCTATGTAGATTTAAATCCAAGACCTTCACACTGACAGGCAAGCGCACAACCACTTTGCTACTGTGGCTCTGTTATTTATAACTAAAGCTGTCCAATAGATGTCAGAAAAAGACACCATTGCAATGCACAGTTTGAACAACATTAATAACCTATGGCACAACGTAATAAACTACAGTAAACATTTTGAGAACATGCACCTTTCCTATATCCATCCAATATATGGAAGTGAGCCATGTACCACTTCATTTACACATGAAGAAAATTAGCTTATAAACAGCATCATGATTCATAAATGAAACACTTGTACATATTAAATGCTGGGCTCTCTTTTGAATAACGGTCCCAAATGATATACGCAGAAAGTGAACTCAAACAGAGCCTCATTACGTCCTGCCCTACAAATATTTAAAAGTTGTAACTCGGAAAAAATTAGGGACGAGAGGTGTAAGGAAAAGGGCAAAGTCTACTACTTACCGAAAAGTAAATCCTTTATATGTGAAAATTGTAGCACAGAAGTTGCAAATACTTCGCGAATATCTGCTCTGTCTCGCTGTCCTCCATTGTAACTCAGCACGGCTTGTTCCGGGCGAGACATGATGTAAATGCGTGGTTTAATGTACGCGCATGTCGCCTCGGGACAAAGTCAAACCAGTAGCCGCCACGATGGCGCTCCACTATCCCGACCACCACTTGACCGTGGCGAATGCGAGCACGCTGGTACTTCCGACAGAAGAAGCAGCTCCTGTAAATTGTAGACTTTATTTTCTGGCGACTATAGTGCCACCTCCGAGAGTATCCCCCGCGCCGCTACGCACGGCGCAGAAGGGGCTAAACTAGATGGCTAGGACTCACAAGCAAATGCATTGGAGGAAGCTGCAGGAGCTGCGGTAGCTGCTGCTCGTGAGTCCCAGCCATCTAGTTTAACGGCGCTACGCGCGGCGCGGGGATACTCTTGGAGGTGGCACTATAGTCGGCGAAAAGCGGTCCGCAACTTACATATAACTCGGGCCCTGCCTTAGGATAGCGCTATCGGGAGTATTCTTGCGTGCTGCTAATTTTTTTCGTCCGCAGTTAATCCTAGTTTTGTAGCCGTGTAATCGCCGTAAAGATATCCGTTGCGTTTCGCGACAATGTCGTGTGCAATTAATCCTAATTTTGACACGGTTGAATCGCTGCAAAAGACATGCAAATTTTAGATATGAGTGAGGCTCTGTTTGCGTTCACTTTCTGCGTAGTTCATTTAGGACCATTATTCAAAAGAGAGCCAAATGCTGCAATGGTTTAGAAAGATCAGTAATACACCTTAATTGCATCAGGCGAATGGCACTACAACAATACTGTTAGAGACTAATCAGTGGGGTCAATATTATGTCAGTCGTCGCTACTTTCTATAATAAAACAACATAATCTTTGCTCTAAAAAAATGCAAATGCATTAACATTATATTTTAATGAATATGAAATATTAATCAGTACAGTTAACAGCTGTACTAAACAATAAGAGAAACATTCACCTGGCCATCAATGTCTACTTTTACGACCAGCTTGTAGTTCACTCCTGAAACAACCTTGGAGAAAGAGAAATAAAATCAAGCAAAACTTAAACAAACTGGAAGGTAAAAGAAAGCACTGTAAAATATATGTAATTAAAATCACTTGAGGACAAGTGAGAATTCAACACACTACAATCACTTGAAGACAAATGAGAAACCAATAACTCATATGCAATCTTTTGAATAATTCAGAACCCATTTTGATGCCATCACATGTTGAGCTAAGAACTGACACTACAGCACTCATGATACTGGCATAAACACTTCATCGGCCATGTTATGGGAAAGGGGGAAAATAGAATATGTTGTGACCACTGGAAAGATCTGTGGAAGGGGGGATAGAAGAAGAAAACGAGAGAAGATTCTAGACACTCTTGTTACATGGCATGGAGGTGTCAGCACACGAACTGGTACATGATGCAGATCGTGGATTGTAGAGAGGCATGATCGCCCACGCCAGTCGGCAAGGCACCTGATGATGGTGATAATTAATATTATACAAATGGTTATTTCTGCATCTAAAGTTGTTACACATATTTCTGTAGCAAGAAGTACAACTGATTAAGGACATCCTCTATGGTGAATAACAGACGGTTAGAAGCTGAGGTCGGCAACATACTATAATATCTGTGCAAATCTGGAAATGAATACAAGTTGTAAGGTCAATTTGTAGGAACAAGATACTATGGACTGTTTTGCATGCAGAAGGAAAATCAGATAGGGAATAGGGATAAAGAAGAAAATGACTACAGATATGTTAATTCTTTGAGTCCCAGGGGGTTTAGCATCACATGCCCAGGGGGTAGTAAAGAAATTATTAAAATCAGCGCATCATGCGTTCATTGGGCTTCTAGGTAGGAACCTATAAACGTGTGATGCATTCTTTGGGACTCAAAGAGTTAATATGTGAGCATCTGAGAAAAAGCATGTTAAATACCCGAAAGCTCCAAAATGGTCCTGAAATCCAATGCTCTAACCGGGAAGACTTTTCTTAATGAGAGTAAGTCTTACTAGTCACACTTGCCATAACCACAGGCTGTCATTCTCATGCCCCCTCCCCTCCAAATAGCATAATATAACAATATACTCAAGAAAGTAGGGGCTTCCAAAAATATGAACTAATGATAAGCTATTAAGCTAATATTTAAACATTGCACCTAAGTTGACAGTAGTGTGTGTTGCAACTTGATCTTGCAGTTACACATGTAATGCTAGTGAGCGTTATCACGCCTCACTGCAATATGGCAACCTTCCCTTTTGCTTTGTATATATTTCAGTGAATATGATGTCTATATTTGTCCTCAACTTTCTATGGCTGGTATCTAACAGGAGTGACATGTTACATGCTTGTGGCTTGCATTTTTTGGGTTCTTTCTTCACTTGGTAGAAGCATTTTAGTGGCTACTGAGTGTTTTAGTTTGCCTTTTCAATTTACTGTAACAGCCTCAGCCCTGCATGGGCTCGACACCAACTGCATTAGAACTTTATTCATAACTTTGCCCCTAACAATGCTGGTCTCGTAACAGCACTAAAAACAAAAATTACGGTCACTGAAATGTACCCCTAAATATGCTGGTCTTTTAACTCTTTGGGAGTCGCCGTGGCGGAGTGGCTTGACGCTTGCCACGGATCGGAAGGTCGTAGGTTTGTTCCGTGTCGAAGCTGGAAAAAATGACCTTGACCCAGCCTTGAGTGGGTACCGGGTGCAGTCCCAGAAAGTAAGGCGGCCGGCGTGATGCTGACCACATCACCCATAACTCTTTTAGTCATCAGCATCATAATTTTTGTTCTTTTAGACGTCACACAGAGCTCGCATTTGATTCCTCCACCTGGTACTATTGCGCACAACTCACCTGATTTCTGACATGGAATCAGCCCAGCATTGTTAGCCTCTCGTAAAAATGTGCTTCTTAATGTTTACCTTGGGCATCCTATTTGTCTCAGACCATATGTTTCCCATTCCAGTGCTTGATTTGTAATTTTCTGCTCATTTCGTCTCAGAGTGTGCCCAATATATCTCCACCTTCTGTCTTATTGCAGCTGATACAGGTATTTGTCCAGTCATTTCTCTGATCTCCTCACTCTTTTTAAAATCATCCAGTGTTCCATTCATGATTTTTCTCATCTATTTATTTTCAAATGCATTTAACTTTTGTTCCATACCTGTTCCCTTCAACTTTCACTGCCATATGTTACAAGTAAAATAACATTAAAACTACAGATTCACAGTTTGGTCTTAAAGCTGTACAACTTGGAGCTCCAACTCTTTCAGTAACAAGCGATTATTATTTTCAGTCCTTATATCACAAGGACATGAGGTTAAAGCAATAAATTGTTTGATCTGGCGAAGATCAGCAGATAAACAATGGGACAGATGTAGTTTAACTAATCATTTAAATCCACAATGTTAAACATTACCATCATCATAATTTCCAATTCTGCCGTTAAGCGTTGTGGGAAGGAACAATTTGCAATTCATTCCTTGATGAGCAGCAATGGCTACTGTCATTCCGTGTTCATGTAGTAGCTCTTTAATGTCATCAGTCCATTTTCTTCTAGGGCAGCGGTTCTCAACCTATGGGCCATGACCCTTTTGGGGGTCAAACAAGCCTTTCATAGGGGTCACTCAAGACCATCGGAAAACACATAATCACTGAATATATGCAGTAACAAAGAAAATAACATAATGGTTGGAGGTCACCACAGCATGAGGAAGTGTATTAAAGGGTTGCGGCATTAGGAAGGATCTTTTCATGTGTAGTGCCTGGATTAATAGTGTCCTGGCTGCATTTTTACTAGATGACCAAACCATTTGATCTTCCGTTTCTTAATGAATTTGTTGCATGGTGTTGTTCCCAGTTTGATATATCCTTTTTAACTCTGACAAGGTTAATAGAGACGATAAATTTACTCTAAAATATCATCATCATACTGCTGTGCACTGTGTTGTTTATATGGTACTGTCAGAAGACAGTCAATGTCTCCGAGGTAGTACCAGCTCACAAAGATCAGTTTCATGTTCATGCTAGGGCATGCGGGTGTACAAGGAAATGAGCTAGCTAATACTGAAAAAGCAAATGAGTAACGAGGATGTCTTAAAAGAAACTAACTTACAAAGAGAACTGATTGTCCACATCAGAAAGAGACAGTCTGCATTCTTTGGTCACGTTATGAGAAGGAGAAAATTGAAGTACATCGTGACAGTAGGAAAGTTGAAGGGGAGGAGAAGCAGAGGGAGAAAAGATATTGGACAGTCTGACATCCTGGCATGGAGGATCACCTGTGTCAGAGTTGAGTGAAACTACACGAGACAGAAGGTTGTGGATAGACATGACTATGAACACCACACTGCATGGACTTTTGAAAAGAAGAAGAAGAAAAAATACTGATAGGCTAAAAGGTAAGGCTACTGTGGAGGGTGGAAGAGCCGTGAATCAGGCTGATATACTGAGTGCTCTACGGAAAGTATGATGTTTGCGATAGCCAAGTGAGGACTGTGAATCCACAACGATGGTCAGGTGACAAGAAGTGTAAGTTGAAAATGGTGTGGCCAGACAAGAGCACTATGCAGGAAGCAGAAGAAGATCAATAAGCCAATCAAGATTGGGTGTTGCCAGCCTCTACATGCTGCAGGATTTACTGAGGAGACACGAGCACTTATGCACTGAATTGGTCTGATGTGCAATGAGAATGATTTGTCGACTATGTCACATGGGGCTCATAGTCTATGCCTCCATTACATTCTTTTCTGTGCAATCTTTTCAATATCATGGCTGGAATCCAGTTCAGCATTTTGGGTCTCTCTCATCACCATTTGCTTTAGGGTTTCTCTTAGAAATTTTTGTTTCCCACTGCAGTACCTGTCTGGTGATTTTCTTCTGTCTGTTCCCATGATTTCCACCAAACATATCACTATTTCTTTGTCTTATACCCTTAAAATATAATTGTTGGCTATCCTCCGAATAACGGTCCCAAATCATCGAGGCCAAAAATATACCCTAACTCGGCCTCAGTCACATGTAAATTGCGGACTTTAGGTGACTACCGCCACAGCCGAGAGCATCTCCCAGGCCGCTATGCGCAGCGTGGAACAGGGCTAAACTAGATGGCTGGGACTCATGAGCAAATAAAATGAAGGAAGCTGCTGGAGATGCGGTAGTTGCTGCTCGTGAGTCCCAGCCATCTATTTTAGCCCTGCTCCTCGACGCGCTAGCGGTGTAGGATGTACTCTCGGCGGTAGCGGCAGTCGCCGGAAGTCCACAATTTAAGTTGCCGGATGTCCGCAATTTAAATGCGACTGAGGCCCTGTTAGTGTATATTTTCGGCCTTGATAATTTGGGACCGTTTTTCGGAGGATAGCTTAATTGGGCTATCTTCCGAATAACGGTCCCAAATTATCAAGGCAGAAAATATACCCTAACAGGGCCTTAGTCACTTGTCAATTGCGCACTTCGGCGACTTAAATTGTGCACTTCCGGTGACTTCCGCCGAGAATATGCCCCACGCCGCTTATGCGGCGTGTATTGGGACTTAACTAGATGGCTGGGACTCAGGAGCAGCAGCTACCGCATTTCCTGCAGCTACATTCATTTTATTTGCTCATGAGTCCTAGCCATCTAGTTTAGTCCCAATCCATGCTGCGAGAGCGGCGTGGCGGACACGCGGAGTGGGGCATACTCTAGGCGGTGGCGAAAGTCGCCGGAAGTTCACAATTCTGCGGCGGCGGTATAGTCCCCGGAAGTACGCATTGAGACGTGACTGTGGCCCTGTTAGGGTATATTTTCTGCCTCGATAATTTGGGACCGTTATTTGGAAGATAGCCCTTAATTGTTAATACTCCAGAGCCACACAATGTTTACAATGCTGGTCTCTCAAGTACTGTCACACATAATAATGATGGTCTCATAACTGCAGTGCACTCCAAAACAATACTGGTATAATAAATTATATTAATAAATGTATTCCAAAAATATAATTCTAATGTAATATGTTGTTCTTATCCTCCATCCCCTCCATTTTTGTTGTTGTTGTGTTGATGCTAATATAGTAAGGCCTATACATAAGCCAATGTTGATAAAGATAATGTCATGAGTCAGTAGCAAATATTGGCGTCAAATGTATTTACCTGACTAAATACTTGCAGAAGTTGCAGAATTTTCAGTGGTTTCTCATTCTTAGTTCCATTTGCAGTTTTCACTGCATTCATTCTTGTAGCAGCTATCTGTAAACCTGTGTCAATTTCCTTTTGTAAGTACGGGTCTTTTGGCACATCTTCCAAGGGTATTTCTCTGAATCCACCGACCATATGAACTGCTCCCTGTGCGGCGCAGATAGTGAACAGGAACAATATTACTTTCATCGTGTAATCTTTCATCTTTTACACAATTTTATGAGATCTCTACAAACATAAACAAAACTGTCGATCGTAGTTCGCAATTGATTATGTTGTTGCAATCGTCTGGTAGAGACTGCGTATGGGGTAACCAGGTGTTTTAATCACCTAAATATTATGTCAAATATAACTGTTAAATTGCACATTATTTTATTAAGTATCAAAAGCACAAATACGAGTCCAAAGCTTTGATTTATAATTAAATATTTTTAGTTTATTTTTTTCTGCAATATAATAATAATTTCATTAGACTAAGTTATGGACTTTTTTTGTTGTATAATTGCTTACTGCCTGTGTGCAGCCTGTAGTGCTAACAGGCATACATGGTTTATTTTGATCCTTGACATCATGTACACAATTTGTATCACGAGATCAGATTTTATTTAACACATCCTTGTTGTCCACGGTCGCTGCAGATGGACTGCTTTGTTTGTGCAGAACTTTGAACTTTTTAGTCATAACCAGCACGACATTTGGATGACTAATTTACGCCTGGCCCACTAACTCAAAGTTTTTAGTGTAATACATAGTATAGTAATAAAGGGGAAGGAGAATTAGGAAGATGAAAGACTCAAAAGAGAAAAAGGTCCCAGACTTGTTAAGAGCTGGACGTTTGAGAAGAAACATGCTTAAAACTAAAACATATGATGGCAAAAGTCGTCCTGAAATCATATGCCCTTATTGTGGAAAAATCTTCTCAACTGATTGGTCTTTCTAGTCTCGCCTATCCATCTTTTTCTTTCTTCGCTTTAAATAGATTATCTATATCTGCAATGTTGTCTCTGGTATGAAGTTCACTGTCTTTTTTAATTCGCACAGGGACCCGTAAAGTTTAGCTTCCACCTGTGCTTCTTTTAACCAGAAATTTTGCCTTGTTTGATTTGATGTCTCAGGTGCCAGTCCACGGGTACACTTAGCTGATTGGCCAGTCTTAAATTGTGTAAACATGTGGCTGCGAAGTGGATTGTGTGGTGTTCTAATGCGTCATTTTGTGCTGGTTCAGTTGATAAGAGACATCAGGTTGTTATTCATTTGCCACCACTATGGGCGGTGATTGTCATGCATCCCTTTGGCACCATGAAATAGTATCGTCTAGAAATATGGAAAGCCAAGAAGCGAATAGTAAAAACTCGTCTATCTGACTATCCACTGTCGAATCTAAACAAGACACATTGGATACAGTTGATAGGGCTAACGTCATTGCACACACTGTATCCGCTTTGGGAAGTGACTGGGCTAGCATAAGTTCTCTAATTATAAATTTTGGATTGACATCTAGGATGCGATTGGCAGGCCAAACAAACATCCAGGTACAATTCTGGAATGAGACGACAGCTACATGCAAACTTTCTTGCATTGGCTTTCATCCGATATTGCTTAGTCATAAAGTGGCTGGCCGTCTTATTTCTTATTTGTTGTTATCCCTTTTGACAAACAGAGCATATGGCCGACCCATTCGTGTGGTGTCCTCCGATACAGCAGCCTTCTCAGTATCTCTATGCTCAACGTACCCAGTAGGAATTAATAGACATATTTCTTCGCCCATCAGCCGCTTTCTACATGTTTTCTTCTCTCTAAATACCCACTTCCCGATCGGTTTATCATCGCTGACTCCTTTGTCTCAACCTCAGTATGATTTCCTGACCATACTTTCATCAGCCACTGCCGACACGACCAAACTGTCGGTTCTTTCAGTTTCTTTCCTCCCGGCTTGCCCCATTGTGTATAGCCAAGGTAGTTTCTTAAGGAGCGACTTCTGAGTGCTTTCAATCCATTCTAGTCGGAGTATATCAGTTTAGATTGTCTTATGCATGATCATTGAGTCTGTCACTATCAATGCGCGAGTTGTTTTTCTGTTCCGCAAGCAATGCAAGTGTCCCTGTGACAGTTGCTATCTCCGTCGTCATATTAGAAGTATTTGAACTAAAAATGGACGCTAGGCAAGGTCACTGTTTGGAGCCGTGGCTATTTTTTTTTTTTTTTTGCTTCTGCCAGACGCTAGCCGTTGCATTTTTGCTCCATTTGTAGACTGAAAGGATATATTTTCGTGGTCCAGCTTCTGAGTGCATGCGGTTAGCTGTGGATTTCATTTGGAATGATTTGTTGACTGTGAAACAACGTGGTGGTGTGAATTGTAGATTCAGAAAATGGCGTGATGCCTGTTGTCTCAAAATTGGTGGTGCCATTATGTGATTAAAATTGATCGCGTGTGCAACTGCTAATCTGTTGGTGACTTTTGCTACCATCCATGATGAACTGCATTTCTAATGTCGGACAGTTTGTGTTAGCACTCCGGATGGCTGCCGTATGCTTTTAATGCGTGTGTATGCTAGTGCATATCCTGAGACAGCAGTCTGTCAATCTTTCCACAACGGACTGTGATGCACATTCTGTGTGTTTTTCTTTGGCACAGGAGCAGAGCAACTATGGGATGACCCGTTTGCTATGAAGCAGAAACTAAGACTACCAGATTACCAGTTGAACTGAAAGGCTGACTTGCTTCTTTTACTGTCCTCACATTTACCTGCGCCCATCCAGACCGCGCACTCCACGAATCGCTGAGCCATATGTATAGATGCTGACGTCACCTGGTCGAGTGTCCTTGGCAAGCTGGTCGCCTGACAAGAGTGTTGCACTAAACGCGATCTATGAAGATCCTTCAATGACACTATATCTTTGAGACATCCCAGGCGAAACAAACGACAACCAAACAGTAATCTTAAAAGTGCAAGGCTCTTAATCAGATACCCCAGTAAAAAGACACAACTAGAACTATCATTAATAATTGTTAGTGGTGTTATTCAAAAGATCTAAGAAGTGACTGCAGGTATTGGCACCTTCTTCTGCGAGTACTAATCAAAATCCTATACATTTCTCGGTAGAACAGTTCTTCTTAATGCTGTCAGGCGTAGTAAGCACGGATAACAATGGGTTTCCGGGATAGTGTGCGCCCGATAGCTTGCTGCATGGTGATAATGTGATTTTTAAATTGACTTGTTACATTTTGCAGCTACAATTTCTGAATCAGAATAACGCTAACTACCTATCGTTTTTAATGGTCCGCATACTAAATTGACAATGTTGCTAGTCTTTGCTTCTATTATGGGCACTGGAAACACTGGTATTAGGTCCTTGGGCTTTCGCAGCTTTTCTAGCCATTTATTATTTCCAATGACTACAGGCGTATCACATATTCTACTGGTCAGACAGAGATGTGAAAGAAATGCTAAATTTAACACAAAATGTGACGAAAGCTCAACGAAGGGAATGGAAAAGACGCACACAACACAACCAAACGTTTCGACCGAAGTCTTTATCAACGGAGTAAAATGAGACTGGAAAATTCAACGGACAATAAGGAAGAGCTTATTTAAAAAAAAAAAAAAATCAAGGTCAACATAAAACTAAGAAGTATTTAATGGGGGGGGGGGGGGGGCTGAATATAAGGGCATAAAATACGAAACGAAATAAGTAAGAAGGCGAATTGCAAGGAAAACAATCGGTTACCAAAATCAAAAAGCTGATTCCATTGTTTCTTTTAAGTTTTTTTCAAGCCAATTTCATGCTGATGAAAATCGAAACAACAAGAGGCAGGGGAAGACCAAGAAGAATATGGATTGAAGGAGTCACGGACAACTTGAGACTTCATAACATCACGGCATATGAAGCGACTGAGCGCGCCCTGGCTCGGTTGCCGATCATCTGATAGACTGCGACGCCTAGCGGCACAAGCAGATTTTGACAAAAGAAGAAGAAAGAAGAAGAATTTCATGCTGAATATAATTAAAGAAAACAACAGTCAGTCTGGATGTCTTAAAAATCCATATAGTCTGTCTTCTTGATATATATCTAGTGTATCTCCCCCCCACTGCCCCCATGGAACACACAGAGAGTGAAAACTTGTGGGGGGAAAAAGGGTGGTTAATAGATCTACTGCTACCCCCCCCCCCTTTTTCCACGCACGCACACACGCACACACACGACAAGCACACACGCACGCAAAGTAAGTTGCGTAGCTTTACAGGACATTACAGAACCACACCGGACATTTTTGTGTTGCTGTTTTGGCTCAGTTGTTTGCCATTTCCCCTGAACTTTTGACTCTTGATACCACAGTCAAAACAATGTAAAGTGGTCTGCTGCCAAATTGACTGCAGCTGGATTAGAAACGGGTACCTCAGACTTGTCGGCATCTGTGGGTTAGAAATTGCGAATGAGCTTTTTAATGCCAGGGTGCCACGTTCGATGCCAGTTTGTCTTGCCTAGATTTCAACAGTGGTACTAAGAGCTGACCGTCCAGGAAAAACAAAGACAAACCACGGAACGTAAAAACTACAACAGACAAAAAAAAAAAAAAATGCTGCGGTTGATTCTGCAACATCTGTAAAGGATATGTAACTAAATTTAACCTCAGACCTAATGAAACATGTTCAAAATGCCTAAGCCACAGACACCCTGACAAGCGTGTGGTAAAAGAAGACTTATTAGGAGTTTACTGAAATCAGATGTTTGAGGCCAAAAGGCACAGATATCACAGTATATCTGTAACCATCAACACAGTATGCCACCTTCACTTTGAAGGGCAAATGAAGAAAACATTTGCTCTATTCTACACATGTTGCACACCACGCAACACATACTCACTTGTCACTTTGCCAGTTGCACAGTTGTTGTATTCAGCATCATCTAATGTATCTAGTTCATTAAACAAGTGATAATCCAACGTACTGCGATCGAAACCCACTGCGGGCTGCATGGATTTTTATCATGGTTTGGGACGTTGCAGGTCGACCAAGCCTCAAATGGGTACCAGGATGACTGTCCTTTGGAAGTAAAGACGGCCGGTGTAATGCTGACCACATTACCCACCGAGTGCTGATTGGTCTGTAAAAAATATGGGTGCTCTTCCCATATGCCCGATGCGCCTAAAGGCGTGAAAAGAGATCTTTACTTTAGTTTTACTTAATACGGCTGCTTACGTC